CAGTGTAACCACCGTCAGCTCTTGCCCGCTTCGATGAAAACTTCATGCAAAGAACCCAACTTGCTGACTATGACCCCTACGAACGCGTCGCTGTTCGGAAAGAGTCCGACGCTGCTCCCGTTTGGTGAAAGCCGGCCGATGAACCAGCTCCGCTACCACACCGTTGCAAGCGGCGACACGTTTGATGTGCTCTTATGTGATTCCCACGACCTGCGGCACGTTGGATGCACGCTGCACAGCGCCGTGCAGAGCGGCATCGCGCATCAAATCGACTTCCACTTCCACGACTCGCAGCCCGAAGTTCTTGCTCGCTCGCTTATGATCTTATTTGCCCTGCGGACCCGCTGTGGTGACCTCGCTGAAGCCAAGTTCGCTACTTACGTCGCCCAGCTCACCTACTCGCACGACCTTGACCCGACCGTTGCCTCGTTTTGGGAGTCCATCATGCACTTATGCCTCGATCACGACTGGCTCGGTTCTTCTTCCCGCGTGCGCGTTCACACCGAGGGCACCATGCGCGAGGTCCAGCGGTGCTGGTGGGCGTGGCTCGCCACCAAGTGGACGACTGCCGATTTTGCCAAGCTTCGCACCGAGGCGATGCCGAGTAATAATGGCTTGGCCAAGCCCGGATCTTCCCGCGTTGCATCGCGCTTACCCGAGTTGTCCGAACGGTACAGCGACGGACTGCCATGGACTTCGCTTTCGCGCCTGACTTGCGCTGCCGATCGGCTTACTCAGACGAAATCGTGTTTCATTGACGCGAGGGACGAGCACCCTAGTCTATGCGTAAATCCGACCATGTTTCACGTACGCAGTGACGGGTCCTTCACTTATACCGTTCCTCCCGAGTTGCGCGTCTACAGCGCTTTCTCGATCGATTTTGACGGTGCTACTTGCGACTCGAGCATGCTAATCGAGCTACAGGAATGGCTTGGTGCGCTTCGCCGCGTTCTCTGCGCTGATTTGGACTACGCGTCAACACCTGCTGCTGCTACTCAGTCTGGTCTCGTTACGTCAACCATCATGTTAACCGACGCGTGTGGCAACCAGCCACCTGGTCGCATGTGACCGACCGCGCACCTGTTCCTGCGCCGCCTGCTGCCCGCGGCGGCGCTCCCTGCATTCGCATCCACGCTCCCCTCACCCCGCCTTGGGTTCGGGGCCGGAGGCAGGAATACACATCCCTGACTAGCTGTATCGTGGTCTCCTCGTGTCCCCCTCCTCGCCACGCTACACATCACTTTTGGGTGCGGTAATGCCATGCAGTATCTCGAGGAGCTTGTTGCCGACAAGGATTGCAGATTTGACGCCATTGACGCAACACCGCTCATCGACACTCATGGTCTCCTGAACACGCTGATCCATGGTTCACCGCTCCTCAAGTCGCACCCGGTCGACCGACGCTCGCTTCTCTTCACTTCTACCACGAACGGGGCCAACCTTTGCGGCACTCACCTTGGTTATTTGAAGTTTTCGACTGGTCTCGACCCAGCTCATTTCCCAACCCTTTTTGGTGTTGGTCTTGTCGAGCTTCCTTGTTCTGAATCATGGATAACCTGCGTCCAGCCATTTCTGTGGTCGATTCCGCAGCAGCGCGACTCGAAGCGCGCCATGTTCGCGTACACTTTTTTCAAGCTGCCTGCGCCTGCGGTTGTTGTCTCGCTGTCAGAATCCGAATTTTTACTTTTGGGCCTCAAGAGTTGTCTCACAACGCTCCTGTCCGAGCGCGCGTCGCGGACCCATCAGCTAGGTACGGAGCCCGCCTTTAATTTACTCGATCTGATCCTACATGTACTCACTAACGAGCATTCTACCCCTCAACATTGTAGCTGGCGCCTTCCCAACGGGTGCCTTCCTTCCCAAATTGCTTGCGTATGCGTTCGCCTCGGGACGCCTCGCTTGGACAGGAGAGGAGCCACACACGTCCATCCCGTGGCCAGAGATGCCCGATTTCTGGCGCGAGGTCGAGGAATGTGTTCCGAGCGTGTGGTTTCCCGAACTTCTTGCACAGGCGCAGCTCCACGGATTTCCGATTTTCCATGAAACTACCAGCGCATCGAAGGTTTGTCGCCTCAAGACAACGGTTTCGCTGCTCAACCCAGCACCGTACGGCGGAATTCTACTTGCCCTCACGAACGGCCACCACGCTTTTCGATTTGATTCGGTCCATACCATGCGCTCGGCCGATGGGCTCAGCGTCACGGTGACCGCGTACGCGCCTCTGAATCTTGTTCTGTCAACTTCAACTGCTCGTCATCTCCGCGGCGCCGTGATTCCAATGTACGCTTTCGAAAACCAGCAACACTCTGGGCGGGGCGCGTACACAACGGTCGTTTCGTCGTTCAGCACTCCCGAACAGGCCATTGCGGATATGAATCCCACACCGATTCCCGTCTACTCGCAATGCAGTGCCATTCATGGGATCATTGCCTACTCGGGCTCCGTCCGTCCTTCGCTCCGTTTGTGGCCTTTGCCTGTCTTGAGCCTCCTGGAGAGTGGCAGCGATAGTGCGGCCCTCATTCTTGACTTGCCGCGCGTCTTTAAGGCTGCCAGCATCACCGAGCTGACCAGACTTGATGACATTGCTTCCAGCCGTGGCGCCGCGGGACTCTGCATCAACGGCAAGGTGTGCCAGCTTGCTCTTCCCTTCACCGTTACCGTGACTCAAATCGACATTGATCGCAATGAGCTGTGCGTGATTGTGCACCTCGAAAAGGTGTCGACACACGCTGCGTTGGCTTTGTCCATCGATCCTGTTATTCCGCGTTCCCACTCTCGCGCTGCTGCACCGCTTTGGGCTGGCAAACGGTCCTTTTGAATCGCAAATAGCCTTCTGAAGCGTTTCGCGGACGATCTCACGCTTCCCCTGGATGTGGGGCGCCAACACAGCCAGTCTCGATACCTCCTTGGCTCGCAGATCCTGGCGCAGTTGGTGTCGTCAATGGTATGCGGTTTGTTCTTTGCCCACGCACGCGGGCATCGTCTCTTCGAATTCAAGCGGCGTAAACCAGATGGCAGCGACAAGCCGATCATGCTCCTCGTCGCGGGCGAGCTGTATCTTGTTGCGCCGCTGAACAGCATGCAGGAACCAACGCCCGCCTTTCACTGCAGCCATGTGGACTTGCTTTCGCAGAAAAGTTTGCTGTCCGATTTGGCTCGTCTCGCCGCTGCAGCGCAGCAAAATAGGGCTTTTGGGCTCGAGCTTGGGACCGCGGACGCCAGCAGCCACCGGGTTGGCTGGATGGAGTGCGAGCCGTCTCCAATCCTACTCCAAAGCTGTACGGACGCGAGAGCCGAAGACATGCCTCCCATCGCTCCTTACTCAATTGTAGTGAGCGCAAGCGTGGCTGTGGCGTTCCGCGACTACCTCCGGTTTACCGCGCGTCCCGATCCAGGACGTGAGCCTGTTACGGTTCTTACCTCCTTGAATGTGCCACTCTTGCACAGCGAGTTGACACCTGTCTTTCCGCTCGTTGGTTCCTGGGTGCAGTGATGGGAGTCGAGAGTATGATAATTTTAAATGTGTTGATTGTCCGTACTTTTTACTGTGCTCTGAGCCTCATTGGTGAGAGCGCGAAGCTACGCGAGCATTTGAAAATGACGCGTTGCGCCACAACGTGACCTGATCAAGTTTGATCTCTGTCGTGCCTCTGGCAAGAGCGTTTCTCTGCCCCTGTCCAATCAGCGTCATGCAAGCTCCGCACCTATAACAAGTTTTCTCCTCCATTCACCTTGCATATCACCAAGGCAGAACTTTTGTACGTCAAAAAGACGTACGACGACCGCAACGACGAGTCGCCTTGCCTCGCTCGTCCGCCCCCTGACGCGCTAACCGGTGCAATAAAGCTTCTTTATCATGTTCAGTATCCAGATGCGTTCCATGGAGTTAGGCCGCTTCATTGGCTCGGTGGCGCTGAAACTTTGCCCGCAGCCAAGCACCGCAAGCAACTGGCCCGTTCTAGTTGGCCTCAACGTTAACTCCTGGCCTGAGCCCACGCGTGCCTCAACTTTCTCGACGTCCTCAAATCCCGCCAAACACAACAGCAACGTCGACACTGGCTCGCCCGCTGACTCGCCGCCGACTGTCCGCAACTGCCGTACCTCAGGCCAGCAGTTGGGTAACAGCGGGAACGAGCCGCTCATTGCCATTTTGGGGCGCAAACTCAAGTTTTTTTGCTGGCTTCGCCGCTAACGAAGCCGTGACCCGGCTTCTGTGCAATCAATCCACCACCCCAAACTGCACCTGCACGGCCGCCCGTCCAGCCTCCGCGACGCGCTTCTTGCGTATTGCTACCAAATTGGACCGGTCTGATGCAGCTGGTGCCCAAATCGCAGCGCTCTGCGCCGTCCGGCGCACACGCGTTGTCAACACCACGCGTTGCGGACGTGACGGGCGAAACAGTTTCGCTTCTGCCTTCCACCACAACCTCGGGTTCGTGTTCATTGCGGCCCCGAATGAAACGAGGCACAGTCGAACGGTGAGAAGCAAGAGCGCAAGGAACACACTCGTAGTTAGTACCGCCATGGATGGCACTCCAATGGGAATCGAGAACGATCCGTTCATAGAGATTGAGTGAAACCAGCAAGTAAGCGGTGGACGCGTCGTGCCACAACGCTGCACGATCGGAATTAATCGATGTGTAAAGGATGTTCATGTGCTCGCTTGCTCAAGACTGATATGCACCGCACTTGCTACGGGCATTGTAGCATACTGCCTGATACGGCGCCAGAACCTCAGGGTCGACGTCAGGTGGTTCGTGCATCGGAATCCCTTCAGCAACGAGTTGTGGCCCGAAAGTGCAATCGGCGGGAACCCACAAAGTTGTGAGAGTGTGTCTTGGACCGAGGGATGGTCGCGAAGGGGCAAGCCACTCCGCGCGGCGGTCAGCATACACGGTGGCGGTCAGCGACACTCCCAGACGCGTTTCCTGCTCTAACTCCTTCCCCTGATGGCCAAAACATGATTTGAGACATGATATGGATAGCTGGAAGAGCCAAAACGATGGCGGTAGGGTTCGAACCTACGCAGGCAGAGCCTAAATGCTTTCAAGGCATTCTCCTTAGACCACTCGGACACGCCACCGCTGTGCGTCATGCTCAACGACCCCCCCCGCACGGCGTGCCCGCGCGCTACGAGCTCGGCATCCTCCAGTTCCAGACGCAGTGCGCGTTCTCGCCGCTCGAGCGGCCCGACCTCGCGCTCGTGCCCATGTCCAACCAGCTGCCGTGAGTGTGGTTTGACAACTAGCTGCTGCTCATGCAGCGGCGCAAGATGTCGATCGTGGACCGCCGCCGCGACTACAACCTCATCGTCGCCGGCAACTGCACGCCCACGGTCCTCGTCGCGCCCGACGTGACGGTGCGCGGCAAGAGGAGCCAGGACCGCGTCTGGACCAAGAACTTGATCCGGTGGCTGCCCCTGTACACGCTCGAGACGCTGCTCGAGTACCTGCCCGACAACGACGACGGCCTCATCGGGCGCAAGTACACGCTGCCGATGCTCCGCCGCATGGAAACCAAGGACGTGCAGCAGCTCGTCAAGGAGTTCCGCGTGCCGCTCACGGACAACGGCAACGCGCGCATGAACGCCGACGACCGCAGCGTCGCCCGGATCCTGCTCGACGTGGCGAACCGCAACCACGCCCAGATCACGGCCATCAGCCACGGCCAGGAAATGTACCCGCCCGCGCTGCCCATGGACGACGATCCGCCCACGCCCGCCGGCGCGCCGGCGCTCGTCTTCCGCCACACCCGCCCCCGCCCCGCCGCCGCGCTCGTCAATCCTGTCCGCGCCGTTGGGTTCGAGATCATGCCCACCCCGGGCAGCGTCGTCATCGCGTACACGGACGGTTCGTACTACGTGGACCGCCCGGGCCCCGAGGGCGTCGCGCGCGCGGGCTCCGCCGCCGTGTTCCCGCTGCCCGACGGCTACGACACGGCCACGCGCCACGACGCTGACTGCCGCGCGGCCGCCAACGGCGTCACGGACGACGACGTGGGCCACATCGCCGCCGCCAAGCTGCCGCCCGGCCCGTTCTCGTCGACGCGCGCCGAGATCCACGCGTTCGTCCTCGCCGTGTCGCAGGTCGCCGCCGGGACCGCGCTGCACATCTACTCGGACTCGCAGGCCGCCATCGAGGCCGCGCGCACGCAGCTCTCGCCGACGGCGACGATGCGCCAGCGCGTCCGGTGCGCGTCGAGCGACCTGTGGTCCGCGCTCCGCCTCGCGCTGCGCGACCGCAACGTCAAGGTCACCTTCTCGTGGGTCCGCGGCCACGCCGACGACCCGACCACGCCCAACAACATCGCCGACCGCGCCGCCAAGGCCGCGGCGAACCAGCCGCCCGCCTCGGACGCGTACTTTTCGAAACGCACGCGCACCGAGTCGGACCTCCATCACGTCCCCGCCTTTTTCGACCACGAGATTTGCGGCGACCCGCGCAAGTTCATGCGCGACCTCGCGCAGGCCGAGTGCCGCGACGCGGTGCTCGCCGAGAACGTGGCGCACCTCGCGCTCGCGCCCGAGCCCGTACCCGTACCCGTCGCCGCCGATGCTGCAGCCGCCGCTGTAGCAGCCGCGAACGCCGCCGCCGCCCAGGCCGAGGAGCTCGACTGGGAGGCGACCGCGCTCGCGCTCCACGGCGGGTCGCGCCCGCTCGCGCGCCGTACCTCGCGCGACCAGAACAAGGAGACGTCCTTCCGCCTGCGCGCGCTCGCCAACAAGCTGCCGTGCCGCGAGTCGCTGCACTCGGTCGGCCGCATCGCCGTGCCCAACTGCGGCAGGGCCGAGTGCATCGCGAGCGAGGACCTCGAGACCCGCTGCCGCACGTGCCGCGAAGCGCTCGACATGGCGCCCCGCTGCTCGTGCCGCCAGGTGGACACGCCGTTCCACTGGTTCCAGTGCCAGCTCATGGACGGCAAGCGCGTCGAGACGCTCGACCAGATCACCAAGTCGTGGCTCGGCCAGCTCACGTCCGTCGGCGCGGCCAAGCTCGACGCCGCCCTGAACCCCGCCGCCGGCGTGCTGATCGACGCGCTGCTCGGCCCCGACCTGCTGCACCTGCAGCGCCTCGACCTCGGCGAGCTGCGCGCCGACCGCGCCGCGATGCTCGCCGCTCGCGTAGCGGCGATCCCCAGCTGGGTGGCCTCGCGCCACGCGGCAGTAGCGGCCGGCCTGCCGATCCCTGGCGAGGACGCGCTGCCGCCCGCTACCACGCACATCCCCGCCGCCGCCGCGGCCCGCCTGTCCGCCTGCGCCATCACGCGCGGCGCGGTGCATGCGTGTCGCGAGTTCCTGGGCAGCCCGGCCGCCGCCGCCGCCGCGACCGCGCTCCACCCGCTCCCGTCCCCTCGCCGCCTCGCCGCTCAGCTGTACGACGCCGCCGCGTCGCTGCTGCGCTCGTGCATGTGGGTGCCGTACGTCGGGCTCCAGACCATTGCCCGGGTCCAGACGCCGCACCGCAACGCTCGGTACCGCCGCCGCCGTACCGAACGAGTGCGCCCGCTCGCGCCGACGCGCCAGTGCCGCCGCGGTGAGGCCCGCGACCAGCCGCAGGGCCAGGCCCGCGCCGAGACCCGCCAGCAGCGGCGCCGGCCGCGCCCGCAGCAGCCCCAGCTGCAGCCGCAGCTGGGCAACGCCGGCGACGGGGACGAGGACGAGGACAAGAACGAGGACGAGGACGAAGACGACGACACCCGCCGCCAGCGGTGCCAGACGTGCGCGCGGCAGCCCGCCCGTCACAACCAAGACCGATCCCGCATGATCTCCCTGATCCACGGGGCGGTCCTGCGCAAGACCATCAACGGCCCAATTGCGCAAGACGACGCGTCGGAAACTACTATCGAATCAAGTCGGGTGGACCTCTGAAGTTCTTCATGTCAGCCCGCCGAGGGGGCCCCCACGCTCGCCTGATCGCTGAGCTCGCCCGGCGCGACGTCGGCGACGACTCACTGCGGCTCCGCCGCGGCTGAGCCACCCGCCGCCGCCGCGTCGCGTGGGCCTGGCGCGCAGGAGAGTGCCCCTCGACGGTCAAGGTCGCTCGTACGCGTCTCCAGCGCGTGTGTCCGCATACTGTTGTCCCTCCTTCACGGTTCGATGAGCTTCTTACATATAATCTTGTTCTTTCGGACACGCCACCGCTCTTGATTTCTCATACTTACTATGCGCTGCCGTTCAATAAATCATCTTGTGACACTCATTTGATGCCTCACCGTACCTTTTGGGCCGATCGTCGGGTGGAGAGCGCGAATCGTGCGGCCTCGGATCGCCATGGCCACTGATAATCCAGCGTGCTTCCACGCGTGGTTTCAGTCGAGCTGGTTGGCCCCCTTGCGCTGCTCCTCTGCCCATTGAGCATGTCTGGGGCGTGACGTTTGTGAAGAGTTCATTTCCGTGCCCGAACTGCAAGCGTCGTGCGGTTATGAGCCACGACGGCGCGACAACCAGAAGTTAGTTGCAGCGAGCCGCACAAACTACCTCTCCTCCTTCACACAATGTCTCTCAGCCTGTCTAAGGGCGGGACACACAGCTTTTACCTAATAACACGTCTTTTTTTCCAGTCGCATTCGACGGATAGGTTTCCCCTCGCGGCAGCGACAGTGGAGGCAAGGCAGTCCTGCCTCGCAGCGGTCACGTGTTTTGAACGACGCGTCCCCTCCCTTCACGTCCCAAGTTCCACGACCGCACACTCGATGCAGAATCATTTAGAAATCACACATCGAGTGGTGTGGCGCTATTAGCGCGGTTAATTCCTGCCACGCACCACGATCATCCCGCGCATGGCTCCGTAGGTGTTGGGCGAGATTTTGGCCGACGGCAACGTACGCGATATGCTATTAATCATATGTAGAAGCCTGTCAACTGCCGTCTCTTCTTGATAGAAGTCAGCCCTCGGAATTACGGAAGAAATCGTCGGTTACCGTTGCCTTTACTGTTCCAATCCTGGACAAGAGCCATCGGGTCATTCGGATTGGCAGTGAGAGAGTGACAGTAACGTACTTGACAAACAGTAGAGCGTTCAACTTTACTGATAACCACACGCAGTCATAGTTTTTACCGTTCAAGGGTAGCGAAGTGCCGGACAGCAGCTGTTCAGGCGCGAGATAAATATGCGGCCTCCCCGCTGCCGTCGCCGAGATCCTCAGCAGTCTCGACTACAAAAGCTCATCCTACCCACTACTCACCTACCCACCACTTACCACCACCCACCACCTACCATGACTGTCTATTCGGCAAACCACACGACCGACTCGACCGCCCTTGTGCTCGGCGAAACCCAGCAGGGCAAAACGACACTGCTCAACTTTCTTCTGGACGCCGCGGGTGCGAGCGCCGGGGATTTCGCCAAGATCGGTAACGGAACCAGCTCCTGCACCAAGGAGTGCACCACTTACTCGTGCCAGCCGTCCAACTTCTCGTATGGGTTACGCCCGCGCTCTACTGGCTCAAACTTGGACTTGGACTTGGAATTGGAGCTGGACGATCGCAGCGACGACGCGACCGCCGACCTCCTGGACGAGGAGACGGTCGCATTCGGCGAGGAGCTCGAAAAGTTCCTCCAGCGCAGAGTACCCACGCTCGCAAACAAGCTGACCGAGATGGTGGGAAAGTTCACGCGCGGTTCCGGACGCTACCAATCAGTCGAGGACATCACTCGCAAGCTTACGGAAAACTTCTTCACGACCAAGCACACGCTCTACAAGCTCGCCAAGCTGCGCACTCTGGCGTGCCACCGCCCCCAGAACCTCACTATCATTGAGTCGCCGGGCTACAACGACTCGAATGGCGACGTCTCGCCGGGTATCGACTTGTACCACCTTGCCGGCGTCATGAAGCACGTCCTCGATCATGGGCCTCTCAACGCCATTATCTACGTCATCAAGTGCACGCAGCCGTTCAACGCGCCGACCAAGGCCAGCATCGAGCTGTGCTTGGACAACCTGACGCAGTTTTGCTCCCGCCTGATCGTCGTGCACTCGGCATACAACCCCGTCGAGGCGCTCCAGTCCGGCAAGGACCTGGGTGACATCAGCGAGCGCATCGCCGCGTTCGAGGAGGTGTTCAAGGACAAGCCGTACGCCCAG